TTTTCTCAAGTCCTGGAGGGACTCACACTCAGCTGGGTATTTTCCAAAGTGGTGTTTTCTAAAGGGGGTAGGCAGCACTCTCTCATAGAGTGTGGGCTGAATTCAAGAGTATTCAGAAGTGGAATCTGGATATCTTATTTAGTGCATGTCATAGTGCCTGCTTAGCTGGTTTCAGGCCTAGGGATCTGGTGGGTGTCTTTGACTTTTTGATCATTTCTCACAACCTAATTGTTTAGATAGGTCTTATGTTCAAGCAGAGCCATGGCCATCTTCCTGAAATGGAATTGGGGAATCTCATCCCATGAGTAAATGATCAGTGAGTGTCCTTTTCCTATTGGGTTCCGTTAGGTGAATGGCAGCTCCATCTTGTCATCTATCCTCACAGAGCCCCCCTCCCCCATTTTGTGTGTATGATATGGGTGTGAAGGCTTCTCATTAGAGGAAGATCATCATCTGAATTTTAAACAATAAAATATCTGTAGATATGATAAGTATTTATCTCACTCATAATAGGAGGAAAGAGAAATATCAAGTTATAAAACTTTATTCTCTTGCTCTTTGATCTGAACCCAGACATTTTTCTGTCCTGTTCACTTTCCTGCATGCCATTTTCTTTCCCAAAATATCATCATCACCACCAGCACCAGCACCAGCACCACCACCACCACCATCTCCTCTTCCTCCTCCTCTTCTCCTTCTTTTCTTCTTTTCTTCTTCTTCTTCTTCCAGTCCTTTTTTCAACATGTCTTTTTATTAACTAAAGCCCCTACCTTTCTCAAACATGGTGGTAATCCCTGACATGGAGAAGGAGAGAAATATTTGGGAAGACTTGAATGTACATCACTTTATAGTCTACTCAGAGTAGGTCCCTTGTGTGATGAGATTTCAGTTTTCATAAACACATCCCAAGTGATAATAGAAGACAACGCTCTAACACATGCATCAGTTTTCTTTTAAATCTGGTGGTGCCATGGCTCAGTCCTTTACACAGGCCACATGACTTTTCTACAATTCAGACATGTCTCTAGCCCTTTTTGAATTTTTTATTTCAGATGAATATTAAACAAGTTACCCAGACTGGTCTTGAACTAGCACTGTAGCTCATACAGGCATACAATTATCCTGGTTCTGCCTCCTAAGTAGCTGGAATTATAGATCTTTGTCGCCAGATCAGATCACTGTGTGTTACATCTGTTAATGATACAGACCATATACATATACTTTCCCCAATTCTGTGTTCTGTGTGCCTGGTCATGAGATAACAAGATGCATAGATGATGTGAATGGATCCCTCCAGTCTGATAGGGAAATAGACACAAAAGAGCAGGTAATTGAGGATGAAATATTTTAGGAAGTACCTTTGCTGAGAAGAGAATTGTTTTCCCTTCATGATTTCAAGGAGAGCAAGAAAGGTTGGGGTATCCATACATGGAATGTCATCACTGGAAAAGAAAGAATCCCAATGGAGCTACATAGGTACATTCTCAATGGTGTTCACCACCAGGGAGGTTGTCCTGTGATCAGTGTACCTTCCCTTATAAATGAACATAAAATCCCTTGTTGAGTGATGATGGAAAAGAACACAGAGAGTCCCATGCAGCCTGCTAAATGTCTGTCTTGGGATGAAGAGGGTGTTGTGGGGCTTTGGAATCTTCAAATGACAAATGGTATCCTGTAATGTAGTTTCCAATCTGATCTAAGTCAATGGAAATTTGTCGTTAAAGTTGTGTGTAATGTCACTGAGTTCAACTGAAACTACTCAGAAAGCCTGTTCTTAAGATAGCTCAAATCTCATCTCTGTGTAGCCCACAGCCCCTGGATGTTTCAGGTCATAGGATCCTGGTATGGTTGGTTGGCTTTATATTCACAGTACTCCCCCTTGATCAGTTTGGGTATGCCAATTTTTTCATAGAAAAATCTGCTGTTATAAGAAATGATGTCACCTCCTGAGAAAAGAAACAGATTTTGTTTCTTTGCCAAGCTGTCCCCCCGGCAGAAGACGGCTCATGCTGCTCTGACCTTCAGGGTAGTTACTCCATCCATCCAACTTTCACGTTATTAGTTTGACTTATAGATCAACCAGGCTCTGACAGGGGAAGGAAAGAAGAAAATGGTAGGGCAAGAAATAAAAACAGAGGAATCTATACACAGAAGAGATGCTATTTAAAAGTGCTATCAACTTGAATCCAACTTGGTCTCAGTGGAATTTAGAACAAATAGAAGAATAAATTTATTTTGGCTTACAGTCCCAGATGGTTAGATGGTGGGGACAGTGTGGTAGCAAGCATCAGGCATGGTAGCTAGAGCAGGAATCAGAGAGCTCTCATCCTCAACTGCAACTTCAAAACAGAGAGTAGAGAAATGAATGTAAGTGAGGGTCTTTACTTTCAAAGCCTGACTCCAGTGACATTTGCTCTACCAAGGATTCCTAAACCTCCTCCAACAGTGCTACCAACTGAGATCATATGTTCAAAAGTCAGAACCTATGGGTAACTGTTCACCTTCAATCTCATACAATGCTATTTCTTTTTTACTCATTGTGCTTTATAGAGTACTAACACTTTACCAGGAATGTAGTAAATTCCATCATTCATCTGGAGCTTCATTTTCTGTTTAGTAGATAGACAGGAGGACAATCCTACATGGTGCCTTTCCATGTGGGAAATGTTTCAGGTAAGGCAGCTGCAACAAAATAATGTAAACTGGACATTTAACAAGTGACAGATATATATTTCTCACAACTCTGGAGAATAGGTGTTTGAAACCAGGATACCTGAATGGCTGGATTCTCAGGACTCTGAACTGACAGATTGAAAACTTCTCTGCTCTGTCACACTGTAGAAGAAATGAGTGGTTCATTCTTTGACCTCTTCCTAGAAGTAAAAGTATCTCATTCATAAGGACATGTCCTTTGTGACCTTGCTATAGAACTTGGAGGGGATGGGTCATAATCTCTGCCTTTGTGTCAGGTCAGCCATCCATTCTTAATAAGCCAATTGAAAGAACTAAATTAAAAGTGGAAAGAACAAAGAGAGGTATTCTGTGTGTCCACACCAGAAAAGAGTATATTGATAAGCAAACAGCCTCTCAGTCTATCTTGGAGTCCTGAAGTGAGATCAACATTTTAATAGAGGGCAAGAAATATGTTCCTATGTACCTTATCTAAGCAATGCTTCAAAGTGTGGCCCCACCTACCACAGATCCATCATTATCTGGGTTTCCTTCTCACCCTGTGAATGGTCTGACAAGTTGTAAGAACTGTGTGCACTCTCTTTTAGGGAGACAGATTCTCCAGTCTGGATGGAGCTCTTTAGTTCTCTCAGCATGTTATTCCCAAGAAAAGACCCAGTTCGTTGGATCCCATTGTTACAATAGTTGGATAGCCAGATTGAGAGCCATTACTGTTTCTTTAGGATATCATCATTTCTGCCAGACCATTTACAACCTTATTTATCATCTTCCATGGACCACTATCTTCTAATGGTATAACATGAAGTTTGTTCGACCCCGTGAATTTGGGATAAACATGAGCATTCAGTCCCTGTCGTGGATAGCCCTGGCCTTGTATTTTGATACTAATTCCCCTTTCCTGTGAAGGGCGGAAGAGGAGGTATGAGTCATTACACAGGTGATTTCTAGTGAACCTTCTGCCCATCTTAATTTGTAAAATAAAGGCTGGTGCCAGTGATTGGGTAGAGGAAGGGGAAGTAGAGATATGAATGTTGGTGGGACGAGAGCAGGAGAGAGGGTGACTGGAGGAAGACAGTGGAGGAGGAAGATAATGGAGGAGGAAGATGATGAAGACGATGGAGATGACGGCAACTGGGGAGAGAAGAGAGAGGACAACTGAGGAGAAGAGAGGAGAGAGAAGACAACGGAGGATGACGGAGGAGGCTGACTGGGAAGCAGGAGGTAGAAGGACAAATGCAGGGTCTGGAAAACCCTCAAGTTATAAGGGTCTCATAGCTGGGGAACAGATTAGTGGATCCCTCTTTGGGGTATCTGCCCAATCTAGGTTTACAGAATATATTCATAATTACTGAGTTGTGTTTTCATTGATGGACCTATTCAGGTTGGAGATTTTAAATATCACCTGCTACAAATCCCCAATAAAGAAATAGGGAGGCACTGCCCTCTAATTTGGGAGGATACTTATAAGAATATTTCTTGGGGAATAAAAAAAATATTTAAATTTCTTTGGAAGCTATTAAGATTGCTTTAAAACTTTATAGATGTATGCTATTATAAATAAGTAATCATTGCCTTGCATAAATATTAACATTATCTATTTTAAATCATTACATGTCTTTCCCCTCTGAAACATATATATGGTAAGCATAGGCATGTACCTATTTCATGTACATGATGACCCTGAGCTATGGATACAGAAAGGTCTCTTAACTTTGCTGTCCACTTTAATTAAACTTAATATTGTAATATTTGGGGCGTGGGTTATGGAATAGAAAACAGAGCATTACTGAAGCTCCCACATAATGTACTTCATTCATGTGCTTGATAAGAAGTACAGTCAGAATCTGACATTTGCCTAAATTTCTCAACAGAGCACTCCTCAGATCACATAGGCTATGGCAGCATTTGAGGTCAGGGGTTAGGGGGCTGGTTCTGTGAGCACTAGGGAGTCTTTGTAGACAGGGCACCTTCTCTACTTCATCAAACATATTCATTGTTTCCTGGATACAGGTGAAAGGATTCACTTGATCAGGTGACAGATTGTGAGGGCATTAACTTCCAGACAAGGATAATGCTCACAGCAAGTGTGACTTTACCAGAGTCATGTAGCTTATAAGGCACTGATCAAGGCTCTTTTGAGAGATAGTTTACTCCAGTAAGCACAGATGTTCCCATATTGGGGTCCTATTCATTTGAGATCTTATGCTTTAGAATCATAGTGTTCTTGAGGCCTGAAAGACACCTGATGGCACTGTGGTTTCAGCATGTTTCTGGAGTTCATGTCTTCCTACTGATTTCATGTTTTGCAGAGAGCAGCAGCCTGCATTCAGCCTGTGTCCATGAGAGTGCTGTGCACAGTCGCGTCTTCCAGATCTTATACAGAAATGAAGAAGTTTCCATAAATGATGTCATGCTCTTCCGGGTTCATTTGCTCTTAGATGGTGAGAGGGTAAGTCTTGATCTGCCAGCCACAAGAGATATTTTTTTTCTTGACTAAACCAGTCATTCTCTCTCATTGCTGGATTCAGGTAAGTGAAGGAGAGACTATAGATTGATTCTGAAATCTGGTAAGAATTTATGGTTCAGATATTCACCTCCTTCTGATGTGTTTATTTTTCTTCTTCTCATTCATATGCGCACTCATTCCCTGATGCCTCAGTTGCATGAAGTCACTCCTCCCTTGCTCCAATGTACCTCTGCTCAAGCATAGTGCCCAGAAATCCCTCAAAAGATGTCATTGATCACCTTCTCTTTTCAAGCTCTGGGTTAGGCCATTGGATAAGAAACAGACGTTGAAGAAGGCTACAAGGTCCCCTGTCTTCAAGGAGATGATAGCTCAGTTAGCAAACAAATTTGTAAGCTTTATATCTTACTTGGCAAGACTGGCCATAGCTGGCAGAAAAATCAAGGGCCCCATGAATGGAGAAAGGACTCTAGAATGATCAAGCTGGGGCTGGAAATCATTCACAGAGGAGATTCCTTTCAGAAGTAAGTAGTTGAGTCCATTTGACAGAGAAAGGGAAAGAACACAGCAGAGAGGGGGAAAGCAGCACTGAGCTTGGAGACCTTGGCACATTGTTGTTTTTGATAGGAGCTTGACTAAAATGTTTACCTTTGATAAATTAATATATTTTGAAGGCCTCTAGAGTCTATTGTTCTTATTGCCAGGGTCAACAAATTGAAACTTTTCTGCCACATTCTGGCTGATTATTTTACAGTGAAATAATTTATGCTGAAAAGAATGCCACTACTTTAAGCAAATTAAGAGCACTCTGGCTAACATGCTCCCTGCCACCCCCCCACCTTACTATGTAGCAGATTGTACCTATTGAGTACCTTAAAACTGTGTCTGTACTCAAACCCTTAGCTTCCTGCACACATCTTTTATGATTTATGTAATGAGATAGGTCCTGATTTACAGTTGAAAGCAAAAGCTGCTGCAAATTCCTTACTCATTAAGCCAGGTTGCTCTTCAGAGGTTTTCTGAGCACTCACAAAGTCTGTATTATATTCGGAGAGAAAGTAGCAAAGGGGAGCATATGCCTGGTGCTTTGATGCTGCCCTTTACCTATGAGATTAACAAATGCATTATCTAAGCATCATTTCTTCTCAGTTGCATCAAAGTCTGCCCCCATTCTTAACAGTTTAGAGCCCCTCAGCTTCAATCTTGTGAGTTACAGAACACTGACACTGAATAGAGAGCATGTTTCTCAGGGCACATTGTTTTCTTCTGTGTGTCAACTTACTTTTCTCTATAAACTAATATTTATTATTGTCTTAAGGATAATCCATATGATATTAAAAAATGTTTCAGCTAATTACTATATCTGGAGCTGTAGTGACTCAAGTGAACAGGGCATGTCTGAAATAATACATATGAGGTAAACATATGAACATACTAGTTCTTTTCACATTCATATCTATTGATTTATGGAAACCAAAATGCTGCTTATAGCCAGTGGCCTGAAAATGTACTGACAGGTGCATGTAGCAATATACTGGACAACACTCATTTAAATAATGGGAGTCTATCCAACAAGTACATTGTGGAAAATAAGACCCAGTCTGTCTAGTGAGGTCATAGATGAGAACCAGAACCAAGTATGGAATATGAAGAGAATTAACTAGAAGCCAAAGAATCTGATGGGATGTTTCACAGTGACTGTGGAAGCCCTTGGATATATCATTCATATACATTGTAATGATGTAGCAGATTTAGGGAAAATTACAAAATATATAAAATAAGAGAATTGGTAGAATGAGCCAGAGAAAAGAAAGAACAGATGCAGAAACTGAAGGGAAGCCATTGTCATGGTAAATCTACCAGAAAAATATGTATGAACATCTCCTGGACATTGTCTAATGGTAGTTCACATGTGGATAACTACATTCTCAGCATCTAAGGCAAAGAAGATATATAGATAAAACAAGAAGATGCTTAGCCCTGTGAAGATGGAGAGGGAAAGATTATAACAAAAAAAAGATAGTGAACAAAATTATATTATATAGTAGAGTTCTTATCTTGTGATTTGTGACCACATTGGAGGTCAAATGATGCATTCACAGGGTGGCTGAAGACCATCAGAAAAAAAAAAAAACATAATTTACATTATGATTCATAGCAGTAGCAAAATTACAACTATAAAGTAGCAACAAAAATAATTTTATGTTTGGAGGCAAGGACAATATGAGGAACTGTATTTAAAGGCTCACAGCATTTGGAAGGTTGAGAACCACAGTTTCATAGGTATAGGAAATCTCTAGAGGGAGATTCCTTTGTATATCCATAGGACAGAAGCTAGGTAATGCTTGTGCAAAATGTTGGTTCCCAAGTCCATCACTGATCTAGTGAGTGCTTCAGAGACTAGGAGGGTAGGGGTTAAGTTGATTCAGAGTAAGTGGGCTTTGGTGGTCTTCCCACAGGAAACACTTGGAAGCTTTAGGTTCTGCTACAGCAGTACACTGGAAAGTGATAGACGAGTTAACGGTAAATTTAAGCTGACAGGGATTGGGTTAGGGAATTTTTTGTTGTTGTTGTTTTGTTTTTTTTGTTTTTTGTTTTTTTGAGACAGTTTCTCTGTGTAGCCCTGGCTGTCCTGGCACTCACTCTGTAGACCAGGCTGACCTCAAACTCAGAAATCTGCCTGCCTCTGCCTCCCAAGTGCTGGGATTAAAGGCGTGCGCCACCACTGCCCAGCTGAGTTAGGGAATTTTTATCAAGTGACACAGAAAAGGCACAGATGTGAATATCAAAAGAAAGTTCAGGGTACACTGTGGTGAACCATGCTCATCTCACTGAATGCAGCCTGTTTACCTTGTTCTAGAGGCAATCACCTTGGAGATTTAATTCAAAGGAAGGGGGATGAAACTGAGCAAAGACAAAGTATTGTAAATGAGACCAAGGGCATGAAGGCAGTTGCTTCTTTTGGGTATGTGGGTATTGATGAGTCTCAAGACAAAGATAGCAACAGCTGAACAGAAACAGAGGAAGTCAAAAGTTGGTCCACATGAAAGCCAAAAGTAGCCCAGAAAGTTGAGTTCAGTTATACCTGGGAGATGAATGACTCCATGTATAAAAGAGTCAGTAGAAATGGACTATCGGGGTATGTCATACTCCTGAAGATATCAGTGATAATAGAAGGTAGTTGAGAGTAGTAACACTCCTTTTTGACAGTGATAGGAACTGGGTCCAGCTGTAATAGCTGTCCATTGATCATATCACCAGGAACATTTTAAATATGTTAGATGGATTCTGTTGGGATTTTTGCTGAGTATAATTTCTCATTGAGTCACTGCAGTGTGATGAGGGGCATTCTCAACTGCATTTGATGGGCGAGGATGCAGAAACTTAGAGCTGTGACTTGTCTCCATCGCACCACTAGAGATGTGGTAATGCTATGGTTTAAAGAAGGAGTTTTCAAACAGCATCCCAGGCCACCACGTGGATGTGTCAGGAGAAGTGAGCCTCTGGATTTCAAGCTCAGTAGTAAAGTAGAAATAGCAACAATAATAAAATATTGCATTATTTGTAACTAGTCAACCATTTTAGTACATTTTCTTATTTAGTTTACTGAGTATAATGCTATAAAGTGAATGGAATTATTTTATTTCCATGTAATGAAGGAAAAAACAACAGTGATTCAATCAATAGTAGATTCAGGATTTGTACTCATGCATTCTGACTTTAGAAGATGCCGCCTCAGGCTACAGTGGAGCAGAGGGTTGGGCGGGGGTGGGGGGAGAGTGATTGTGATAAACATACGTATGTAGGGAATCTTGCAATTATAATATGTAGGCAAGTAAGATTTATGGAGAAACCAGTGAAATTCATAAATAGGCTTGATCACTCAGTTCTCACAGAATTGCAGACTGTAAAATCTATTATTCACAGGAAGTTCTTTATACTCAGTGCTTACTCAGAAGGTGGTTAGGGGATTTATTTCTCCCATCTTATATCCAGGGAGCCTGTGGTGAGAGCCTGAGTCCTTTTGGTTGTGTAAGAAACAGGATTTGTAGTTATGCAAAATAAACAGAAGAAACTATTTGTAGCCCTTGGATTCAGTAAAACGTTAGCTTTTAAATAATTTTTTTAAATAACAATTTTTTAAAATCACAAAGGCCTAAAGATAAATTATATCTGTATGCCTCTGTTTGAATCATACTTATCCAAGAAGACATTTACAAGAAGCCTTTGGATGGGCGATGTCTGTCCCTGTTGGATAAGGGTATCCTTGTAAAGAAAGAAAAAATCTAACTATGCGAATGTGAAAGAAGTTTTAATCCTCAAAGATGCATCGACACAGCCTCTGCAGCAGGACACTATTCCTGGAGGTTGGAGTCCACAACTAATAAGAACTAATGTATTTCTTAATGATGAGATTAGGGGAGACATATAGCAAGAAAATAGCCAGGGTGTTTTGCCTCAAGTAGAGAAGCACCACCAGTGAGTGTGTGAAACAATGGTATTTGTAGGATTTGCCTGATCCAAGTAGAGCTAACAAATGTCAGCCCATCCTTGCCAGATCTAAGAGATTTTTTTCCCCAGAAGCTATAAACCCACAATATGAATGTGAATATGAAATTACCTGAATTTTCAACAATTGCAACTTGTTCAAAACATTTTTAAAAATACCTTGGGGACTAAACAAAACATGCCTGGCTCACAGATTGAGCTCTCAGGCTTCCAATTTATGAGCCCGAAACAAACTATTGTAATCAGAAGTGCTGAACATAAAGATAGAAAGGAAGCTGCTCACTGTGAATTGCAGAGGAAGGCTTCAGCCAGCCAGGAGGAAAACAGGAATCTAAGCCCTATGGCATGGGACAGTGCCAATACTGAGTCAATCCACAGAGCACAGATTATGAAACTCGTGTATAGCATACAATTCCCCTATAAATGAGAGAGAAGAAGACCTGAAGATACCATTTTTGGGGGCACATATGGAAAGAACTATCTTTTTTCCTCTTTTGCCTTTTTTAATGTAAAAATAAACACATGGATAAAACACAAACATTGAGGGAAAGGGTGTTTTTGAAGTTGAAGGAGCTTGAGTCACCTTGGAAATTACTTAAGTAGACTGAATGTCACCTTCCTCCCTGCAGCATGTGGGTGAGGACATTTGTGTGTACATGGTAATGTCATGCATCGCTGCACAAGTTTTGTTTTGTGGACAGATTACTCCATCCTTCTTCCCATAGCAGGGGCTATTCAATCTCTTACTCAAGCCTGGAATCCATGTCAAACCCGTTTGAAACTGAGACTTAAAATGCTTGCAAGAAAGACTGTGTTATTTCATTATTCAGTTTATGTGATTAAAAATATGCTGACAAAGAAGACTTAAGGGACAAAGGACTTATCCCAGCTCACAGTTCATGCATAGCCCATCACAGCAGGGAAATGAAGGTTACAGGAACTGGAAGCAGCTTGGTTACATTGTAGCTACAAACAGGAATCAGGTAGCAATCAGTACTTGCAAATGCTCAGCTTGCCTCTCCATTTTATATAGTTCAGGATACTTGTCCAGGGGAAGTACCATCTCACACTTAGGATGGGTTTTTCCATATCAATTAACCTAACCAGGATCAGCTCTTATTTACACACCAGAGGTTCAATAAACCCTCATAAATATGACTTAGAGGCTTACATCTTAGGTGATTCTATATTTCAACCCGACAATTGAGATTAAGTATTACAAGAATGCTTCTTTAATAATTATTGAAATTATACTTTTACCAAGATGGCTATGTGAATTCATTCCTTCCATTTTCCATCTAATATTCCTAAATACTCTGCTTATCCAGAACTCCACATGATACGCAGTAAGATGCTCACTACACATCTGTCGCGTTTTATACTGAGATTCTGTTTTTCTGTTTAAAAAAAAAACAGTCAGCTAAATGTCCCAATCAGATTACTAGTTGACTGCTGAATTGTCTCGGTCTTTCTCTTTCAGGTAGAAGATGCATTGAGCGAGGTCGAGTTTCAGCTCAAGGTGGACCTGCACTTTACGGACAGTGAGCAGCAGTGAGTGTCATGGACATCCTTGGACTGTGTTTCTTCTTCTATCACTATCTTTCACATGCGGCTTCCTCAAAGACAGAATTTTCATAGTTTCTCTAAATAACTAGTTACTAGTATTCTGGGTTGTCCCTCAGTTGTCCCAGTCTTCCTACTTCAAGTAAACTGATCAAGAAAAGTCCTCACAGGTGTGCCCAATAGCTTGGGTATTAGCTGATTCTTAATGCTGTCAAGTTGACAGCCAAGAATAGCCATTACAACTAGTCTGTCAGAGCTTGGAAAAACTCCCTCATTTGGAGCCATGTTGCTTAGGTTCTGCATATTGAAAACTGCAAATTTCTTGCATTATTAATGGGTATCTTCTATGAGAAGCATTTTTTTTCCTATGTGGTACTGATTTGGGCATGGGGTGGGATTTAGAGCAATGTCTCTGCAAGGCTAGACAATCAAAATCCTTCCAAATCATTCTTGCTTCATTACCATGTGTGCATACTGAACATCTGCTATTGTTCTTCAACCCTCAGAGAACTGAAAATCTATTTATGTAAAACTTGCTGAGAAAATAAGCAGGGGACAGTTCTCCTCCTTTTTATAACTGCCTTGTTCCAGTTTGTTCTGTGACTTCTACAGTCTACCCTGGGCTGACTTCTACCCTCTAACCTGGGCTGCACTAATTGCTTCTTAGCCTTCCTGTATTCTTTCAGGAATTAAATAAACAATATTTTTCCAGTGTATTAAAACAAGTGACATGAAAACCTTTAAGCTCTTCTCTCATTTAAGAATTTTTTTTTTAAATCAGGCCTTCTTCATGTAGGTGTTCTCAAAACACACACACACACGCACACACACACACACACACACACACCCCTACCTGTACCTCTGTTTCTTTCTTGACAAGAATGTTTAACATGGGATTTTCCTGGGATAATAGAAGTCCATTCATCTACCCCTCAGCATATTAAAGCCCCAGTTTCTTCTTCACATACCCCATACCATGATCTGATATCTCTGTCTTCACTCCTCCAGCAAGCACCTAGTCTGAGGTCCCTACACCTCTTTGCTTCATAAACTTCCATCCATTGTGCCACATGTCCAGTTGCCTATAGAACCATATTGTCAATCATAAACTTATTCCAGAAATTATTATCTGACAAGTTCTTCTAATAATTCTCATGACATATCACTATGTCATTAATGAGTTTTCCTTGTCAGTAGAAGAACAGTTAATGGAGAGCAATATACAGGAAACTGGTCATGTAAAGCATGTGAAACATAATAACTTAGGCTTAGCTCTCTTCAACTAGGACATGGTCAAATTCCTACATTTTTCCAAATTTCAATAACTTATAAGATGGGCATCAGGCTTTGAATTATTATTAAATCAGGTAGATTATACCCTCCCCCTCCCCGTTTTCATAGCATGTAGAAAGCAAACAAACAAACAAATAAACAAGCATAGGGAGGCTGTCATTTAATCAGTGTTAGACCAGCTAGTTAAGTCCCTCTAATGTATTACTAGGAGAATGATATCCCTAGACTTTGGCCATGGCAAAAGTGGTGCTGGCATCTAATGGGAAGAAACTAGAGATGCTGCTAAAGAGTACAACATACAGGATAGCTCTGGTTTCCACCAAAGCACTATCCAGTTCCCAAAGTCAGAATTACTGAAACGGAGCCACATGCTCTGGAGCACCATCCTATCTGTGTTTTCTAATTTGGCTGTGGTTTATCAGTACCTGCTTACACAGGGACAGGATACTCATCACCACACAGCCCTTCCAGTCCCTGCACAGGTTAGCAGATAGGAAATTCATTAATACTTAAAGGGATAGTGTGTTCTCTTAATTGGCTTTAAATTTAATAATTGCAAGTGTGCGGAATAATTCTGTTGGGAGGGCTGTTCTTCCCGTGAGATATTAACTTTTGCTGTTGTTTAATTATTTTGTTTGTTTAGGTCCTTAATAAGAACTTCAGACATTCTCCTGTCCCCACTACCTAAGTTCACCTACATCTCTACATTGAGGTTCCCTAGGAATTGTGCTTCTTCTCCATGAATGGGTGCTGTCCATTGCACAGCACAGAACAATGGTTACTTTCCTCTTCAGTTCTTCCTTATGAAGGAAGTTTCTGTTATGCTTAACTTCTTGTTCTCACTGCCAGGAGCTGATATCTAAATGGGCTTAAAACAATGCTGTGCTGTAACTCAGCACAGAAGAGAGCCAGAAAGTCCTGGTCTGGTATGGCAGTTTTTCTTGTGACTATGAACATGCTAAACAATTCACATTAGTTTCATATATTCTTTTATGGGTAGAATATGATTAGCAACCACATTATATGAGTGTCGAAGCAGAATGTCCAATCCATAGACAAAACTCAGATCATTGTCATCCAGATAAATGTGAGACTGAAGCCAACAATTGCTGACACCCATGGCTGGATTCTCTCCCTCTCTTTATTAGGTTTCCTTCTGGTCCAAACAAAAATTTGGGTTACATGTAGATACATTTGACACTCAGGATTCATCAGCTGGTGATCCTTTGCACACAAGCAGCAAGGATCACAAGGAAAGGCAATCTCTTTGTTGGCTGTGTGAACCTGCTCCCTCTACCTCCCCCTATCCTGTTCTCTATTTGCCTATCATCTTTAGAAGAAGAAGAGACATTCTCTATGTTACACTCCTGGAAGATGCTCAAAGTGGCATTCCTCAATCAAGCTCTGGCTTAATGCAACTTGCAGAGTCACAGAGACTGTTTGTCAGCACTTTTGTTTTAAAAAGTCTTCCCTTTTTATAATAAAAAGTACTTCTGGGTTTGTCTGTCTGTGACCTGTCTCTTAGGACACATACTATTTACAGAGTTGTTAGACCAATGGTAACTGGCGACTTCTTAAAACTGTTCAGACTATTTTAGCAGTGTGTGCTGGGAACCATTTAGCCTTTGACTGTTCAGTCAGTCAGTAGTCATTTCCACAAGCACAGCCTTGATCACCTTCTCCACTGTGCTCTGTACCAGTGAATTGCTAGAGCTGTAAAGATGAGTTAATCGCAGCTCATGCCCTTTTAGCTAGAACTCTCACAGAAAGTACAACCTCACAAAATCCATGCTGTGTTTTAAGGACAATGGCCATCCTATGAGCAAGAAAAGATGGAAAAGGGGTCCAAGAGAATGATGCTCTTGAGAGGAGCCTGGGAAAGATCTGTTCATCTTCACTATTTCTGAGGTGCAGGTTTAGTTGTGCTGACAAAGGAACTGAAGGCCAGAGCTTCTATGTTACCTTTTTCGTCTTGTATTTGCCAATCAAGGGACAAATTCTTTCAACCAGACAGAATATTTTAGGGTTGAATAAGACATTGAGGCTGCAAAGTGAAGTTGCTTGAATGACAGCAAAGCCAACTAAACTATACTCATATGAGCTCATTTACTTGCCTTTCAGGCTGAGAGATGTGACTGGAACACCAATGATCAGCAGTCGCACACTTGGCCTGCACTTCCACCCCAGAAGGGGTCTACACCACCAGGTCCCTGTCATGTTTGACTACTTCCACCTGTCAGTGATCTCAGTGGCCATCCATGCTGCGTTGGTGGCTCTGCAGCAGCCTCTGATCAGGTATGGAGTTAGAAGTAGCCCTACCAGTCATAAAATGCATTGCTGAGAGACAGTTTGCTGAAGTGATCAGTACAAACAAGAGATGCTTGTCTCTGGTTGCTGGCTTACGATTGCGTTTCACAGTGTCCCACAGAAGAGGTGGGAGAAAGTTGGAGAGAGCTTCAGGATCCCAGAAGACATTGGGAGATGCCAGGGATGGGTGACTTATAAACTAGAATCCGCATTTCCGGGACTTGGATTCTTTCCCTAGCCTCACATTTACCTAGCCGTGGATTAAGAAGCTCCTCCTGTGTCTGGGCTACTAATCTCTGGAAAGTTGGAAACATCAACGTGTATCTAAAGTTGCTTTGTTTTCCACTTTACTTGATATTTCTTTTTTAGTATCTCCCAGGTTTTCAGCTTTTTGTTATTTAATACTCAATTTAAGTCTAAATTATTTGAATTTTAACACCTTCATACGTGTATATATTGCATTCTGATTATTCTTATTCCCTTCCTTTTCTCTCCATTCCACTCCTACCAATCTCCTTTCAGTCCTTTTAACACATTCACAGCTTTCATTATTTTGTGACCCACTGAGTTTAACAAGGGCCATTCATGTGAAGGTTTAGTGAATCCCAGTGGAGGACAGGGCTAGTACGTTACAGGTACTCACATCTATTCATTCTTTTAGTTGCTGTTTCCTCAAATGCACATTTGATTGCAATATATTTTACCTTTGCCCTTCATTGACTCACCCTAAAGCATCTCTAAGGTGCAGAGGACAATTTAGGTTTTCTACACTGTACAAGTGGAAGGACAGAGCTCATAAGAGCTGTTGTAGTGTGCTATACATGGCCATTGAACAATGTCCCAGAATGGCTGAATATGTTCATTTAGATAATTTTAAAACACTGAGAACACACTGTCGGGCACTGCTCGTGCATTGGTCGCAGGCGGGGGCGCAGGTCAGCGAGCTGCGGAGCCGCGGAGCAGCGGGGCAGCCCTAGGGCGTGCTGTTCAGTCGCACTGGGCAGAGCCGACAGAGTAGAGAAAAGCTTCCCATCTCCCTGCCCCGTGAGCTGGCGCACATGCAGGGCTTCCGGAACCGAGGCTCTCAAGAGAAAGTGTCCCCACGGCTGCTAGAACAAAAGACTTTTCTCTCCTACTCCCGCCCCTCCGAGTGGGTTTTGGCTTACGCAATGAGTCCAGGATTTCAAGAGACACATGGAGATTTAAGATGCGTTGATTTATTAACATAACGGCGGGTTTGGGTGGTGTATGATTTATTAACATAAAGGCGGGTTTGGGTGATGTAGAGCTTTCCTGAAAAATGTCCGAATGGGTTTGCTTATATTAGAAGCTGGGGAGAAGGGCGGGGCCAGGGAAATCTCGAGGCAGAGGCTTGTTTTCCCACTCTCTACTTGGGACATGGAGACCTCGTGGCAGGGCTCTGGGGGCGTGGCTGAACACCCAGGATTCTACAGTCCCACAACACATGACTAGAGTTACATATATATGCAGTGGGATATCTGGAGTAAAATTATTTTAATACAAAGGAAGGGAATTTGTCCAGTTCTCTGTTCTAGACAGCTTCTAACACTTTTCCTGGGTGATGATTCCTCCATGGTTTTAATGCCTATGGCCTAAAAGCTCTGATCTTTGTTGGGATCTGAGAGTAGAAAATGAGATACCTGCTCTTGGACATGAGATGTGACTGTATCCCTTGACCAAGTTTTACTCATCTGCTCAAGACTGCTCTCTGATTTCCTGACCAAAAGTGTCAGTGCAGAATCTCAGAGAGACCGATTGAGATGGTGTGTATTAAGAAACTAGGATGAAAAGCATCACCCAAAGGTAGACTATGCGTGGCTGACAGGCAAGGTGAAGTGATTCTGAAAAGGCAAACCTGGATTTCAGGGAGGAAATGTGGGGGAAATGCTAGCTAGCGCTTAGCAGTGTAAAAGTCTGCATCGGAATTAAATCAGAGCATACAGAAAAAAAGAGCAGAAGAAAAGGAGGATTCAGAGGAGCAGACAGCCAGTGAACAGCAGTTGTGAGCATTGAGCTGAAAGCCAAGGTCTAAAAGGTCATGGCTTTCTGGATCTAATGTTCTTCTGTCCAAAACATTGCTGGCCACTAAGTTAAAGGTCCTAGATTGAGGCAACAGGAAGAAAACATGATTCAGGGTTCTGTGGTTTTCATTCACTTCTGATGAAGGTGTGTATAGAGGACCTGCTGCATTCAGTAGAGGCATCAGGATACACACACACACAAACACACACACACACACACACACACACACATACACACACACACAGAGTAAGTCTGCAAAGGACACACAGGGTCCTCAGAACAGACCTTTGCCTCAGAGATTCCAGAGCTCTGGTGTGGATATGGTGTATTAGATAAGGTGTTACAGCAGAATGTAGAGAAATGTTGTAACATAGGAATATGGGAAAAGAACCCCTGAACTTGGGAAGCTGCCACTCTAAAAAGAAAAGTACTGGTCTCCTGAAAGGCATGTTTCCCAGCTGAATGATTCCCTTGGATCAGGACATACTGCTTCTGTGAATGTCTCAGGGTAGGATCTGTGGGCCAAGGGTGAGTCATAGCTGGTGTGCCCTGAGATCAGCAGAGACTGCTCCTCTGGAGGCCAGGCAACAGCCCAGATAGGAAAGGAAATGACTTTAAGGGGTTCTGGGTCCCAGGAGCATCTGGTTGCTTAATTCCATCACTTACTTACCTGGGGGATCTTTGAATAGCTTATCTCACATCTCTAAATATACGTTTCACCTCACAGACACTTAAATTTATATATAAAACAAAGAGCTTTTGTGATAATGACTCAACAGAGATTATGGCTATATATAATAAAGCCACATAGACGGTCTCACATGATGAATAAATAAAGGTTCTCGAAGCAATTCTTGTAATATAGAAACTAGCAGTTCTGAGAGCATGTATTGTGTCCCTGGCTTTAAGAGACTTGAGTCTGTAAGCCATACAAATTCTCAGCTTCAAAACTGAGTACTATGCAAAGTAGTGGGGATACCTGTGTAGGGTAGGCATTAAAAGAATGGACTTCAGGGCTGAGTACCCCCAGTGCCAAATTTGAGTCCCTACTAACTCCATTCACTTGAGCATGTGGGATTCAGTTTTAGTCAACAGAAAGAGAATGCTGTAAGGCTTTACTTGACAGCACATGGGAAGCCCTTGGGTATGTATGTATCCAATAGATGATGATGATGATGACGATGATGATGATGAAGAAAATGATGATTTGTGAAGCACCCATCATATTCTGGACCACTCAGCACTGATAAGCTCTTGACAAATGGCAGGTAGCTTTCTGCACAGGGAGGTTTACCCCTCCTTGTGACTTCAACAAAAAAAAAAAAAAAAAAGGAAAGCTTTATAGAAGACACATAGATTTTTTTTTTCTCCTCACCCAGGGGACAAGAGATTGTGACATTGAAAATTGAACTGGGGAAGGGAAATTGGAGTCAGATTTTGACATTATTGTTAATGATGCATCAAGGGTTGAACGTAAATCAGTTGAGTTTACATGGACACTGAAGACTTGTGCCTGAATAAAATCCTCAAGACTTACCCACCCGAAAGCTCCCTCAGGCAAGAGGGTCAGTAGGGCAGGCAGGAGTTCAACTGAGAGGTCCAAAGGGTCCCCAGCCCCTGACATCACTTTTGGACTCTAGTATTGCTTAGAGCTCTGATACCATCTAATCATGGGTTTGGAGCCAGGATATCTAAGCAGAACATTTAACCTTTTGATAGGAGCACACTTTGCAAGTTTTTCAGCAGCAGCCTTCCAGATGGAAGGAAGCACCTACAGTTGCTGGAGAGTTAAACTTCACAGATGGGGTAAAAATAGAACCGCCTTCCGCTCTCTGGGTTTTGCAAGAAGAATCTCTGTCTTGGCACAAGATAGCTGGAACAAAGGGAACCCTTTTAGCTTGTGGGAAATACCTGTCAAATAGGGCAAGCACCAGCTTCTCAAAAAAAAAAAAAAAAACTTCTCATAGCATCAGTGAGATCCAACAATAATCCAGCAGACATGGAACCAAATTTTAACCTCAGAAGACTCATAACTTTCATCAAGAAAGACCAAAGAAAATCTAATTTTTAGTCTTCAAGTAGGTAGAACTGAATCTTTCCCAGGGGCTCCATTCAGTATAAAAGCCACAGTTAAATAACAAGTATTTTAGACCTTTGTTGGCAGGTATCTCTGAGAAGGGGTCATGATTCTTTATGTATACACATTTCTTTAGTCTACCATGTTCCTATTGGTTATGCCTGGCTGAATTGAATGGTAAACTTATTTTAACTCTTGGCTCAATACAAATCCAAAGGCAGATGTGATAGTGCACACCTGAAACCTCAGCACTCTGGAAGTAGGGACAGGAGAACCAGGAACTTGACCTAGCTGCATACATAAATAAAACCCAGTTTCCAAAAAAGAGAAAGGAAAAGAAAAGAAAAACAAACAAACAAACAAACAGAAACCCAAACCATAGAAAATTCAAATAGGATTAATATTTTATAATACAATTGCCCCTTACTAAGACAGGCCACCCTCAGGTACCCAGAAGCTAGAGGTAAAAATATGAAACAATATGTTTTCCTGTAGCCTATGCACATACTATGCCTGCATATTTTAAATTATTCCCAAATTATCTATGATAAGACAATTTAAACTAGGAGATTAAATTAAGGTTGGCATCCCAATGCCAATACATGTGTAGATGTTAGTAAGTGACTGAATGATTTTGATACCAGTTAAATTATAAAGGGCAGTCACTAGCTTTTATTCCATTTTATCATTTGCTAGACCTTACACTTAGAGCTAGCTTTCGCTAATGTTAGGAGTCTCTGTGATGCCCCATTGCTCAAGTGCACTATTAGCCCTTCTGACAGGCGATAAAGTAGGAGGTTCAAACTTAGCCCAGATTCTAATATGTAGGTGCTAGCAGGTGTCTGCCCTCATAGTTATGGCTGTCAATGGTGCCACAGCATTTCTGAGTTCTCAGCCATGCTCCCCAGTTTACATCATGAACTTCTCTCTGCTTATTAGCTGCTGTTCATCTCCACTACATTACAGCATTGCCTTACTCATATGAACCGTGTGTTTACCCCTTGCCACTCCAATACCTCATAGACTCTGGCTTGTGTCTAAAGGCTAATAATATTTGAATAAATGAGTTAAATAGAAACAGAATCTTAATTTATTTCTCTGCCAATATTTCAACGAGGAATGTGAGCTTCATGTCTGCAATGTGTACCAGTTAGCTCCAACTACTAGAGCAACTGTGATGGTATCTGAGAACATTTATGACAGAGACCATTTTTTGTCACAAGAGTTTTAGTTTCTTTGAGAGGTTAGAACACAGCTATGAAGTGGTATTTGTGGTATACATCATAAATTTAAATAAGCCATTATTGATTTTTAACTTTTTAAATAATTTCATATGTAAGTACTTTATTTACATTATTTTCATCCCCTACCTTTTCCAACTTCTCCTGTGCCCCTTATACTCCCTCTCATACTCATGACTGTGTCTTCTTTGATTATTATATTACTTTATATATACATATATGTATATACACATATGTATATAAGTACATATATGAAATGAATTACAGGTGTAAATATACACACACATACACCTGCATGCACATACTTAGAACACACTGAGTTCATTTAGTATTGCTCATAAGTATGTGTTTCGGGCTGATGACTTGGTACTGCATAACGTATCAGGTGGCTTGTCCCTGGTGAAGACTGATTCTTTTCCCCTCTAGGCAGTCATTAGTTGTCTGAAGCTCTTCAGCTAGGGTCAGGACCTTTCGCAGTTTCTCCCCTGCTCAGTTGTAGTCTCACCACAGGGGCCTGTGTTGACACATGACCACTTACCTCCTGTTTGTCCCTTCCTCTTCTTTCTAGTTTCACTCGCCCAGGAAGAGGTTCCTGGTTAGGCAAAGGTGGCCCGGACACAGGACCAGAACAGCCCACCATTTCTCTGGAAAACTTGGTCTTTGGAGCTGGATACTGCAAGCCGACTTCCTCAGAGGTAAAGTCTGTATGGGGCCATGCCCCCATGACCTGCAATTCTCACCTTGCCTATAGTGTACTCTAGGAGGTTCCTTCTTCATTCAGATATTTCTTTAGGGCACTCTTTGGCCATTTCCTTCAACGGCCATCCAAACTTTCACTTCTGACTAATCTTCTCTCAGTTGAACTGTGAGTGACAACCCCTATAGTAGTTTTGAGAGTAGTCTTATCTTATGGTTCCTCTAACTCGTGGTTCTTTGGGAGAAAAGAGCTCTCTAGGAGACGGCACTATTGTGAAGAAATTTCCTTTACACTATGTGGTAATAAGAAGTGTCTGTTGGCATGAGTCATGCCTGCTTTCAAAACCTGGTTCCACCTTCTGTTTACTCACTTTCTGTGATTCTATATCCTCACCCCTAGAGTGACAGCACTAAGGACCACTAATCTTATGTACAATTATGTACACTCAATGTTGTTCCAAATGAAAGTTCTTAGTCTAGTATCTAGGGCTTAGTGTCTGCTTAATAAATGTGTGCACCTTTTAATTCTTTTTTCTTCTTCTCAGGAGGTGCCTGGTATTTCTGTTCTCTCATCACTGCCTGTATCTCTTAGTACATGAGACATTTTAGACATGTTCAGAAATGACTAGCCAATATTACTCAGGGTTGCCCAGAGACACAGAACCAACAGGAATGATTCCTTCTTTGTTTTAATGAATTGACTTACATGATTCTAGAGGTTGAAGAGGCTACACATATGCATTCAGCAAGCTGGACACCCAGGAGAGCTGATAACAGAGTTCTAGGCCAAATCTAAGTCCAAAAGGTGGATGATGATATCACTTATGAGAAACAGCTGCTTACTTTGCTGTAGTCAGAAACCGAGTGGATTGGACTAGTCTTGTCATATTGGGGAGGGGGAGATTTCTTTCACTCAGGCAGGTTCTTGGTTCAGTTCAAAAATTTTTCAGTTAGAAACATCCATACTGACAGTTAAGCAATGATTAACCATATTTCTGCATACCCCATGACCCAGAGAAATAAACACCTTTCCTGCGGACTCCGAAGAAGGATAATCACAATTCTCCTGAAAGGATGGGAAACTAAATCCATGGTAGGGCTGGTCTCATGCATGATTTGGCTTTAGAGAACAATAGAAACAGAATGAATACACACCCTCAATACCTCTAAAAGTTACCAAGCTGTCGGAAGCTGCTGTGGTTACTTCCCACAGAGGAACCTCAAATGAGTTGAGGGAGAGAAAGCTAAGAGTCTGCCAGAATAAAATGAGTATCTCACTTACCCACTATGCATCGCTAAATTCATGTTTCAGCATGGGGGTGTGCAGGATAGAAGGCTCTGCACCCTCCTACAGTAGATATGTGGTGTTCCCCCACGTCATCTGCTAATTCCCTTGCCACACTGAGACATTGACAGCTGATTCCCACACTGGAACAATCACTCTGTCCAGCTTTCCATCACTGTTCAGCTTTCCTTGTGCCAAGATCTGCGTCTCTCATAGCACTATGTGGTAGCTTTAAGAGTCTCTCTAATAGACCTCCCACCTAAAAACATTCAGCTCAGACTCCTTATAAGGGAAAATGGCCAGAGACATTAGTAATTGACAATCTCCCCTTTGGAGTCCTCAGGAAATGTGTTTATTTGTCTGGGCCATGGGGTATGCAGAAATTTGGTTAATCATTGCTTGACTGTCAGTATGGATGTTTCTAACTGAGAAATTTTTGAACTGAACAAAAGATCTGCCTGAGTGAAAGGGATCTCCCCCTCCCCAATGTAACAAGACTAGTCTAATCCACTCAGTTTCTGATTACAACAAAGCAAGCAGCTGTTTCTCATAAGTGACATTGTCATCCACCTTCTGGACCTAGATTTGCCCTAGAATTCTGTTATTAGCGCTCCTGGGTCTCCAGCTTGCTGAGACCTCCAGAATCATGTAAGTCAATTCATTAAAACAAAGAAGGAATCATTCCTATTGGTTCTGTATCTCTGGAAAACCCTGAGTAATACTGGCTAGCCATTCCTGAACATGTCTAAAATGTCTCCTGTATTAAAGCGCAATTCACAGATCAACTCAGAACATTTACAGCAGGTGCGTTACACCTTAGCTGGTGCCACTGAAGAGTGTAAAGTAGTCTTGATGCTCCATTAACTTGGGAGATGCTCCGGTGTTCAGATCATTTGCATCAGCCAAGACCATTTGTACTAGCACTGTTGAGATGTCTTCTCTGATTTTGCAAATGCTCTATCTCTGGTTCTCCTATGCAGGACCTTTGAATAGCTTAAAGTAGAGAACATCACATTTAGCTTCTTCTCCTAGCACCAAAGTTATCTACCCTATAAAACCAGTGTTCAAGAAATATGTGTTGAATGGAGGGTTGGCACAACTGTGTGCATCATGCTGGTAGAGCTTGAACAGCTAGGGATTCAGGAGAGAGGCTAGACACTGTAGCAGATTAGAAAGTAAGGGAGAGGGCCATAGTGTGATGGGCCATGTTGGGAGATTGCAAAGACTCTAGTCCAGCACAGGGCAGGATTGCAAACACTGCAGAACATTCTGGCCAACTGGCCTTTCACACATGACCTGGCACACTGCCTGATGCTGTAATGTTACACCTTTGGTGACTCCTTACAATATAGGTAAATTGGTGCTTAAGAATTCAGTTTGCACAGTTGTGAAATGGGTACTGTCTTTTAGAAGGATTTCAGAGGTTTCTATGCATAGACGTTTTATTGAGTAGAGCTTTGCAGGCAGATGATGCAGTAGAGTGGGGCTTGTTTGTTTGTTTGTTTTCTGCTTTTATTGGCTGTTTGTGGAGTTCTGTGTCAAATTAAATGTGACTGTCTTTCATATGTTCAGAGAGAAAGGCTGATTTGTGAGTCTTGGCACCAAGCTTGCTCCCCAAACTTGGCTTGGTAAGTTGTTTTCAGGGTTTGGTTCTTTTTCTGTATGTTTTCCACTTGGGTCCCATCCAATTATGTGGAGTCAGTGCTGTGTGCCCACCCTGTACCTTCCCACCAGGCAAGGCTGCCAAGCCAAGAATCCAATCTTAGTTTTGCACCCCCTTGGGGGCTTTACATGCAAATCTCAAGAAGCCCAGAGCATTAGCAGATAGAACTGGAATCCTCATGGTCTGATACATCAACTTGATGCATCAGAGAACATGTGCTCCCCCCAGTAAGCCATTCTTGGCAGGGGCCTGTCAAAATATAGAGACTGATGGCAAAATGAGCTTTATGGAACATACAGCATCCCAGGAAGGTAAGAGATGATGGTGCAGTTGGGTCTGCTCTGTTTCTCATATCCCTCTTTTCTGTGGCTCAATTTCCTCCTGTGGCAAATTTGACCTTTGCATTTAGAGCTGTGGCCTGAAGTTTTGTGTGTCTTTCTGTTACAAATCATATGAGCACTAGAGAAGTTATTCAACCTTTTTAAGATGATATTCATCTTGGGAGTGGTTACTATTAGCACAACTCACTGGCTTCTAAATAGATAAAATAGTGCAACTCTATAGTGCTCCAGAGCAGAGTTTGGGAGAAAATTCTCTAAGAAAAGCCTCTACTGATACACACACACACACACACACACACACACACACACTTTTTGTCTGCATGATTAAATCAGTGTAAGTCCAATAATTATTACTGTGCTGTATGTGAGAGTTTTGCTCTTGGCTGCAGTACTCAAACTCCTGTGTGACTTTGAATCTGTCATTTCCCCTCTCTATATCTATTTCTTGGCAAGTAGAAAGAAAACTGAATCTTTCAGGAAAACCTCTTCAGGGCTTCTCTTCTGTGTTTACTGTTGTATCCCTGTCACTGCCAAAAGCAGTTGGGACAGTTGAGACATACTTGAATCTATAGAGAAAAAAATCTGATGTTGATTTCTGGCCTTAACATATGCAAACATACCCAGAGACGAACAGACAGACAGACAGACACAGACACAGACACAGACACACACACACACACACACACACACCATATCTGCCACTATCACAACAAAGCCTTCCCTTTCACTTAAAGTGTGTTGCTGGTCATTTTACTTTACATCTATGGGTCATCTGCTCTCTCTTACAGAATCCAGCAAAGGCACAGAGGCCTCCAAATGATTTAATATATGAAATAGCCAGCTAATATTTCTTTTTAGAGATAAAGACATTAAGACAGAAAAAAGTTAATATCACACATCCTACCCTGTCCCTCCTAGCATCATACAATTAGGCAGCGGCTAAGCTGAAGCTGTAACTGAATGAGCATCTTATCATTTTCCAGCTGCTCCCTTGACTCCAGGTGAATGGATTCTCAGATAATATATATCTGTAGGTGTTCCATTGATTCAGTTCCCCCATGTAAGTCTTGTTTCTCTTTTTATACCTGTGTGTATCTGGCTCCTAAAGTGTTTTCAGAAGCATTTGTTGAGTTGCTATCTTGTGTTTTTACTTTGCACCTCAGTGAAGATTACTAGTGCTGAACCATCTTTATATGCATATTGGCTCCTCCTACATCCCTTCTGGAAAAATGTCCTTTTAAGCAATTTGCCTACTTGTCTATATTCAGTATTTAGCTTTGGTTTTTGTTAGTTTTAGGAGTTCCCTCTACATGTTGGATATTAGCGCTTCATCAGATCACACCAGAGACTGTTTCCTCAATTTCATCCGATGTGTTTGCATGTCCTGTCCCTTTGCAGGGCAGGAGCCTGGTTGGCACAGTCCCATTTGCCTCTTCTCTTCTGACTGTTATGTAGCATCATCATATAAATGTCCTCAAGTCTTCTTTTACATTTTCTCCAAGGCTTTTGTAGTTTCAGGTCTGACATTACATTCTTCAATACATTTAAGGTGATTACAGTATATGGGGTAAAGAATGAGTTAATTATTTCTAAATATAAGGATATATAGTTTTCTAATACCCTATGAATGGCTATCCTTGCCTTATTATGCACCCTTGGCATCATGTAGTGTATTTATTTTCAAGACTTTTCTTTTTTTAAAAAAGGTAC